TTTCAAGATGTCCTTAATCTAAATATGTAAAAAATCTGATGGGGTCATTTTTCCGGATCGTCATACTATTATAGCAGCCGGGAAAGTAAAAATTCCGTACAAAAGGACTAAGATGTCTTCATTTTTTATGTCAAATCACCAAGAACAGTCTTCCATTGCAGACACGGCCTTTTATTGGAGGCTAAGGCTGTGCAAAAACATGCAAAACGGTCTAAAAAGTTCAAAGATGACAAGCCAACAATTAAAAAATATATTATTTCTTTTGAAAAAATGGCTGACGAATTTACCCATTTACTGTGAACTTTTTAGACTGTTTTACATGTTTTTGCAGAGGCGTAGCTCCTAATAAAAGGTCGTGTCTGCAATTGAAAGCTGTTGTTTCTAGTGACTCGACATAAAAAATGAAGACAACTTAGTCCTTTTGTACGGAATTTTTTAATGTGTAAATTCGTCAGCCATATGTAAGAAATAAATTATGCCTTTTCCATTTTAATACATTTCTTCCCCTCTCCGCTTCGTCGTCCTTACAATAAATATTTTGAGTTTGTTTTTTGTGTCTTCTTCAAATGCATTCTACATTTTGTCATCTATCTGTAACTGAGCGAATAACGCCATTAAACACTTGGTAGTTGTCTCGAACTCGCTCCCGGCTTTGAATCTGACAGGTTTACCGGATTTTTCACGTGTCTAACATAATAGGGGTCAGTTTCTTATAGAAATAACCTCCAGGGATGCATTTCCCTCGGCAGATAGCCCGCGTTAATCAATAACTTACGTTAGAAGCTACACTGCTGGCCAAGTAAATGCAACACCCGCAATATCTAGAGGCCTACGTGGTGCTGCATTTTACTTGGCCAGCAGTATATATTAAATAAAGTAATATGTTCTTAAAATATCAATTTAATTGTAATTTAATCATTTTAATAATCACATTTCTTATTAATAATCAATACTAATCAATATTACACAATGAATTTATAAATAAAAATATTTTTCCATATACAGTGTTATATAGCCTAACTGATAATGAAATCACTTAATTAATTTAATTTGCAAATAAGACACACATTTATTTTCTATTACTGTTTTCCGCTTTTTCAAATGAAAAATTCTTTCTAAAATTACAACTTTTAAAATTTTTTGAAAATATTTTTAAAATAAAAATCTATAATTTGTTTTCTTTATAATTCTCTAATTTTAATAAGTTAAATTTGGAGAAGAAAACAAAAATAATTAGAACTGAAGAGAGAAACAAGATTGAAATATTATTCTAACGAGGAAATGCAGAAAAACAAAATATGCTGAAATTTTAATTAATTAATTAATTAATAATTTAATACTTAACATCAAACAATAACTTTGAAGAGAAAATACATTATAAAAATAATTAAATTAATAACTAAGCGGATTAAAAATATCATATAATAAAAAAATGATAATGTAGAATAAAGTTAAGAATTGTCAAAACATTTAGTAATTTTTAATTAAACACAGTTAAATTTAATTTTTAAACACAAGTAATTTTTAGATGATTTGTTTTAATGAATAAAAATTAATCGTTGAAATAGTGAGAACAATTTAGAAATTTCTCCTTAATCAAAAAAATTTATGCATAAACCACACTTCCAGGATCTGTCCGAATCCTCGATTAAAAAGGCTCCCTTTAGCGCTTCCACGGAAAGAAAAGACCCGAATCCGCCTTCAGTCTTGACTTTCATGTATCTAACTGGCTTCTCGAGATTAAGGAAGGACAGACAGCCGGACGACAGTGGGAATTTTACAGTAAACTTCTACTAATTCGGACTAAAAGAGGATGAAGGTAGTCGGAGTTAGCGGGTTGTTTTCTCCAAGCTGAAAACGAGTTGAATTTTATATATTACCTTATTAATATAACTTAATATAAAAGAATTACCTTAATTCTGCCATATTTTAAGTAAATAATATCAAAAATAATTAAATAATATATCTAAAGTATTTTTGTTACGTCTTGGTAATTCTTAATTAATTAAATGTTTATTTTGATACAAGAACTAAATAAATTAAATCTTGGTTGCTTGCTATTCTCTTTACTATATGTATTTTCTTAGCATAAGGTTGCCGTCGAGAAGAAATCGCGCAGGAACACTTTTCGTGGAAAAAGGTCGGTTTATTGATAAGAAAGGATACGCATTTCGGGCTTAATGCTCCTCTTCAGTCCTATTATAACAGATTTATCAGCAAAATTATTACAGAGTTAGATTTACCGATTGTATTGAAATATTCAGGATACGCGTACAAAAGTTTATACAATAAAACATAATTACCTGAAATTATAGTAAAAGTTAGGATAACACGACTGGTGAGAAGACATAGGTGAAAAAGGGGGACCCTTATACACAGCGTAACAACACGCGCTAGAATAAAAAGTGGTAAACTTAAATAAAAAATTAAGTACATAATTAAGAAAAGGAATTTTTATAAAATTAATAAGAGAATACCTGTAGGATGCGAAATAATTCCGATGAAATGTACAAAAAATATAGGTCAGACAGGGGAGGTTCAAAAGATGTAAGTATTCCCTGTAACGTTCACTGAATTTTTAATGTGTTTACCACTTTTTATTCAAGCACATGTAATACTAAATAAATATTTTTACAAGAAAATTAGCATTTTTTATAGTTTTGTTTTTTTATTCAGTTACGGAACATTGATTATAATATATTGAATTATTCATTTTTTACTGTAAAAATATTTTATTATTATCGAATTTTGAATATTTTATAGAGGTAAATATAAAAAGGATTTAATTAAATTTCTCCACGGCTGTCTATAGCAAGGATAGATGTTGGAGCACTTTCTCGTGTGATAGATGTTATCACAGCTTCTTTAGGCACTGATGTAAAAATGAAACGTACAAATTTTTGGGCTGCAATTTTCAAATTTTAAACCTATGAATTCCCATTGGTGTCAGTCTGTCTTTTGTCTGTCCTTCATTAATCTCGACAACGGAGTTAAACACATGAAAATCAAGACGATATATGGTAAGCTTAAAGACACGAAGCCCGAATTAATTTTTATATAAACTTCCTTTGCACACCGAAAGTCACGTGATTTCGATTCAAAAGTTTTCTCCAGAAAGGAGTTAGATAAATGACTAGAATGATTCTACTGTTAACAGAAAACATATGATGTACAGTACAGGGGCAAGACACTTGTAAAATCTGAGCATTTATTTGAAATTAAATAAATTAAGCATTCCAGCCCGGCATTGTGACAATAAATAATTGCTACTTCTCCATTTGTATGTTTTAAATAAAAATAAACACAAGAAAATACTTATAGATTCCATAATTTATTATCCACTAAACGAGAGTTTGTTCTTCTACTTCAGCTTTTTTATACAAAACACCGAAATAAAAATTAATTTTTAAAATTAAAAATAATAATTATAATAAAAATGTTTAATTTTAAGAATTAAAATATTAAAATTTATTTATTTATAATTTTTATGTATTATTGGAATTTACATTTTAATATATAAATCAATTTTACATTATTATTATATAGAAAATGTTTCAAATATAAATATTTAAAGATAAATTCAATTATTATTCCACTTAATACTAGAATCTGATGATAATAATCTCCTTTGTTGTATTTTATCAAACATAAATATAGGTTTATTTACAAGAACTTATACAAGTTATATAACAGTAGAAATTATTGAATAGGATTTAATTTACAGAAATAAAAATGTTTATTTATATAAGTGAAATTATGAAAACATTTCAGATGGATTATTTACAGCAGTTCTCCGAATTTTACTTCAGACATTCAGATATAATATAAACAAATTTAACTTAATTTATATATAATCGAAAATAAGCTGAAAGGTTGCTACAGATTATACACATATTCAATCAGATTTTAATCGAATAATTTTATAAAACACCGAAATTATTTTTGTGTTATTAAAATATTATTTTAATTTGGAAATTTTTATTTAAAATTGTCAGGTCTCCACCAAAATCTGTTTTAAAAGAAAAGTTGTTTCAATTAAAATGCTTTTGATAAATAAAATATCGTGAGAGAACGGGTCGAAAATTGATGAATTTCTCCAACCATCCCGACTACAGGAAGTCTATCTTCCTGTAGTCGGGATGGTTGGATACGTAATAAAACTAAATGTCACGCGAATGCAGCTGGTGATATTTACAACCGGGATAAAAACGACGATTGACTTTGGAATCGCGACAAAATTCGATAAACATTTGCGGCAGGTGTTTGATTTCCGAATTCTGTCTCGACTGGCCCTGGCAACAACTAGGGACCAATCGGAAGGGTAGAGGATAGGGATAACGATCAACTGGAGCGTCCGATCAGAGATACAAAATTTTTCAGAGGCTAGAATTCGAGGACAGAAAGTCTTTCTTTTGTGTTTTTTCGGTTCATAAGGATAACCGAATCTTCTTCGCCTCACCCGACCAGCGGAGATCTTCCAACAAAGAGCCGAAAGGAATTTCCTAAGTCCAGGAGCTCTCCGGCTGGGACAGAGAAACTTTTATCCTGGATACGAGAAACAACGAACTGTGTTCTTCGCATTCTCCATCAAGGGAGTCAATTTCGTACACACACACACATCTTCGTTGGAAGGTCGTCTTGTCTGATAGCCGACAATTGTGTAATGAACAACCAGACAAAAGCAAAAAACGAATATGAATTTATCGCTCGGCAGCATTTAGTATATATTAAAAAATGTGTTTATAAAGATTATTATCAAGTGGCCAATTACATAAATCATACAAGAGAGAAAATGAGGTTAAGATAAACCAAACGAGAGCGGGTTAATGTATTTATAGACATTGTCTCTGTGTTCATGTTTATTTGTAGATTATTTGTGAGTGAATTAACCTAATTAAGATATCCCGTTGATTGTGAAACGATTGCATAACGGTCGCAGCAGTTATTTCAATATAATTGGTTAACATTTTAGAATTTGATAGTATAAATATGCTGCAGAATTCGCAGTTAAAGTATAGTCACGATGAAGGGTTGCGCATACTTTCTTGTTTGCTGCGTTATCATTACGCTAGTTGTTGGTGAGTGTTGAGAAATTAATTTTTAATACATTTTTCTTCAACATATTGCTATACAGAAATTTTTCGTACAGGAGAAAGTAGTAAAGACGAGGCATCCTGTAAAAAATCAGGTGGTTTTTGCACACTTAGAAGCGAATGCGCTCATTCTGACAGTTCTTGCATCAACCAGGAAGGAAGCGATTCTGTCTGTTGCTTCAGAAGTAAGTAATTTCTTATTTATTGCACGCATCATCGCGCTTAAAAATATAATTCTCGATTAAAAGATACACGAGAACCAGCAATTATTTATTGTGACACGGTCACAATGCCGGGCTGCAAGTTTTAGTCATATTTTTAATTTATTTACTTTAAAATATACGCTGTTCACCTCAAATTAGTAGTGACTTGCGCCGTACAGAATACTTTTCCGTTAACAATAGAGTAGTGAAGATCACCTAACTGCTCTTGGGGTAATATTTGAATCGCAATTTCGTGACTTCCGGTCTAGACCGGAAATTCGGATATAGCCTCCTATCCCTAAGGTATATATATATAAGATATATGTGCTGTAGACCATTCTCTAGACTTTCGTCTATTTATGTTATTATTTTATTGACTGTTTATTGAATACACAAACAAGAAAGTAATCCAAGAATATTCAAAGTACAAAATAATAATATACGATGATAAAATTATAAATGGTTATTTAATCCGGTGAGAAAAGATTAATGGAAATAAATGTTTATCTTTATCAGGTGCATTGGACGATTGTTCAGCTGTTGGTGGAGAATGTCTTACCGGAGAAGAATGCGGTAACGCTCCCAGAAATACATTGGCTCAATGTCCAGATCACCAAGTGTGCTGTATCCTGACGTCACTATCGAGCGAATAATAAAATCAATTAATGTTATTTTAATAATCTGTAATATGGAATAGCCCACTCCCTGTATTTTTACTACGTGCTTTACTAGCATTTGTATTTTTGAATATTGTATAACCTCCTTAAATTTCATTAATTTATTAATGAACTAGGAGGTTGCGTAGGCAAAAAATTTCAACAAACATTAATATTATTAGATTATTTCGTACTTCTACCCCTTCCATTATATTACGTTATACTATTTGATTTATATTTACAAAGATTATATTGCGAAAAAGTTTATCACACCCAGTGCCCAATTAAAATATTTTAAAAATCTTTTAAAATTGTGTACAGTAGAAGAATAAAATATTTTTCATATCTGTAAGATTGATCACTCGGTATGATAACCTTGTATTATGTAATTTTTCTATTGATATGATAAACTCTTATGTAATATGACGTTTGTAGTTGTATAAATCAAATGCTATAATATAGTAAACATTAATTAAAAAGGATATAAAGAGTTTGGTTATTTCAGCCTTGCATTGTCACGTTTATCACCATACTCGGTTGGTGTGAAATGGCACAAATTCAATGGCCAAGTAGACAGTAATTGAAAATATATCTTAAATTTTTCAGATAATATAATATTTTCAAATGTTAACTCTAAGAAACTGTTCCATTTACAGTCGAATATCAAACGATAATATGCCAATCAATCAAATTTCGGGAAAAAACGACTAAATGCTTTAACTCGGCATCCTGAAAAACCACTTTCATCATATTTTGTGCTTGCCGGTAACCTTGTATTATGTAATTTTTCTATTCGGATGCTGTCATACTGCTGGCCCGATAGAAAGAAGACTGTTGCGGAAGGCGATTGAAGTAATTCGATCAAAAGTAATACCGACCAAAACTAATTAACACCGGTGAAGTATTCGTATTTGAAAATCGATCCGAGATAGACAGGTTGTGATGGCTCCGCGTGTGATCGAAGTTCTTAAGCTTAACGTCCGAAAGACTGCATGTATCAATAAAACTTGTTTAAATAAAAAAAAATCTTGTTAAAATGCTGGAATAATTGCTTTTATGTGATAATAAAGTGCTTAAATTTTTGCAACAGACTGGCAATAAAGTATATGAGAAGTATGTTCTTGTAAATGTTGCGTCTATAGACAAATTATTGGGCTTTCAATTTAAAAACACTGTAGAGCTATAAATTTCCACTGTCGTCCCCTGTCTGTCTGCGCTTCTTAATCTCGAGAAAGGAGTTAGAAAATGAAAGGCGAGAAAGCTTAGGGGCGGGAGGAACAAGTTAAATATATACGAACTTCTGGTTTGGAACGAGTCACGTTACTTCGATTCAAAATTTTCAACCGAACAGAGTTAGATAGATGACCGGCACGACTCTATTGCTAACAGGAAAAATATGATGTACAGGGGCAATACCAGCACTAAAAATTGAGACATTGATGACACAATAAATAAACATTAAAATGATTATTTATTGTGACATCGTCACAATAAATAATAGCTGCAGCGACAAATAAACCCGTTTATTTATTTTGTCTTACAATCTTTGTCTTGCCAATTGTAGGCACTGGACTGCAGAGTCGTCGAGTCGTTGGCCTCGGGGCAGTCCGGTGAGTCGTCACTGTATGGAATATGGGAAAGTGTGTGGCAGGAAGATTAGTATCAAAGTCGGTAGGATGGTTAGTGGAGTCGTGGCAGTTTAATTTAGGAGACAGAGAGAAGTTTCGACAGTTTATTTGAGAAGGGGAGACTGGGAAAAGTCTGCCTTTGTCCCGATCCCTTAATTTCACACTTTTATGATATTTTAACACACGAGTTCGAATATCGCTCGGGCCTCACAATTGCAATATTTGGAATATTTAAGTTAATTTTCTTTCAAAAATGTCTGTGAGCGGACAGGCGATCGATCAGTTCCTCAAAATTTTAATAGAAATTTATTCCAAGAAGGTTTTTTGGAATAGTTCGTGCGATAAAAAAGAAAATTCTTACTGTAATTATTTATGCAAAATAAAAAGTCATTAATCCTTATTTTTAATTATGTGCTGCTGATTCGAAAAAGAAATTATTTTCTCCTTTTTGAATTTTAACTACAAATTAAATAATCGGAATAAAAATTGTTGAAATTATATTAATATGAGTTATAAAAAGTTAGTGGAGTTTTATTCGATATATTTAGTTGTGTATAATTTATAATAAGTTTTAAAAATGGTAAGCAAAACTTTTACCTTTTACTCGATTAGAAAGTTCAGGTTTAAAATAGTATTTTACAAAGAATATTGTTCCATTCCGAGATTTATTCTCCCTTTTATAGTGTGTATGCGGAATTGCGTTGGGATGTAGATGGCTAATGCCTTGTATACACAGTTTGCCGTTGTTTTTGCTGTTCGTATTTTCAGAAATTGTAATATTATTTATTATTATTTTCATTTACTCTTTTTCAAGGGAGGTTCGTTCATGTTGTTTATTTATATGCTATAATATAATATATAATATACTTTGCTATAATGTGACACGAACTTGTTGCAATGATTTCCACAAAAATATGACACGCAATATTTCGTTTGGAGAATTCTGAACGTTGGTCTACCACCTGTCTGACTGTTGAACGAGGGTAGAATGCTTACTTTCCCAGAATACATACATGGCACAAAAGAAGAAAACTGACAAATGTGGTAGTCGGTGTCAAGTGTATATCAATTTGTTTATTAGTTTTTCGTACTGACAGAACGCTGAAGTGTAGCAGACGCCTACGAAATAAATGTTAGTTCAGAAGTCTTAAAACTGTGTCTTGCCCTACATCAATTATTTAGTGCGTTTTCCAGTGATAAACAAAGTGACCTGGTGCCAGAAATTTATCGTTTTTAGAGAAGCCCATTGAATGAAGCTCCAATTCGCCACCAGACAAAGACTGAACAAATGCTCGTCTTCTGTTAGAATTGGAGGTGACGGAAGACGATGTGGCGGTCAAATAGAAGCTTTGGAAGCGAGCATTTCAATTTTATGAGGTAACTACGCAGCTACATACGAAGCCTGTTGAAGTGCTGGCTGCTACATTAATGTCAGCTATTGGATCAGCGTCAACAGTGATCCATAATACAATTTCATTTAAGAGAGGAAGAGCGAAATAACGTGGATGCCATTAAACGCAGGTTCGATGATTATTTTTCTCCTAAGTTGAACGAGATATACAGTATACTCGATATGTGTTTTTCAGTTGTGTTCAAGGTAAGGAAAAAACATTGAAGTCTTATTTGAGCAAAGTACAGTACATATGAAAAGTAATGATTGTGCATTCGGTAATCTTCTTCTTAGTATAGATTACGGCCTCACCGAAAGGTATAGCCTGATGATAAGAGGAGGAGGGGGTTGGATTTGAGATTTGCATTCCGTAACCTGCAGGATAGTCTATTGCCTGATCAAATAGCGCGGGGAATAAATTCGGATAAAGTGCGATTACTATTGCTAGCTGAAAAAGAGTTAACATTAAATAAAGTATTTGTGCGTAAATGAACAAGCGTAAATCAACTAAAGGAAATGAATGTGGCTTTTGACACAGACAGAGAAATAATGCTTATTAAGAATTCTAAAACGATAGTTTCATGTAAATTGAATAATCAGGCGCCTACAAAAGCTCTACGAAAAACGATTAGCACGAAAGATAAGGTGTGTTGGCGATGTGGGTTATTCCAAGACTTTCTTCAGTGTCCTGCGTTTAATGTCGATTACAAGATTTGCAATAAGAAGATTCGCTTTATATTTACGCTCGTGAACGTAAATATAAAGCGAAGCAGAAAACGAAAACACATAACAAAGCCTGTGAAACACGAGAAGTTTATAAAGACAATAGCGTTGATAAATCAGACAACTACTTGTATGACACCCTTTATGTTCACAGAGTGTCGGCAAAGGAACAGAGAACTTGATTTACAACGGTAACATTTGTAAACGGATTAGCCGTGAATTTTAAATTAGATACTGGTGACAAAGATTATATTATCACAGCAAAGTTGGCAGAAAAGCTGCTTGTACCCGTTAGTCAATCTAAGATACGGAGACTGAAATATTTTAATAATAAATATACGCCAGTGATGGGTAACGTACAGGTCAACTGTACTATTGAAAACAAATCGGTTAAACACCGATTTATAATAGTCAAAGGAAATTTTAGCTGTATTCTGGGTTGTTGTTCTATGTGTGAAAAGCTGAGTGTAGTGAAGATAAATAAAGAATGCATCGAAGTTAACGAAATGGAAATTAGTTTTCCACAAGAAGTGTTTCGGAATATAGGCTGTATCAAGGACTTTGAATCTGATATAGAATTTTAAGAGGACGCAACTTTGAAGATACACCCCCTTGACGAATACCTACGTAAGCTATTCACGAAATAGTTAAAAAAGAGAATGATTCGATGATAAAGATGAAAATATTGAAACCAGTAACACACCCAATCCCTGCAGTTTGTCCATAGTGGTTGTGAAGAAACGGGAGAGTGTATGCTTGTGTTTGGATCAGACAAATATCAATAAAGCGATGAAGAGATGCCATTTTCCTCATAAGACAGTTAAAGAAATAGCAGCTCGATTGGGAACTGCCCAATACTTTACAGTTTTAGATACAATAAAGGAATTTTAGCAGCTTAGAGTGACTAACGAACATCAGACTTATTAACAGTTAACACGCCTTGGGGTAGGTACTCATTCCTTAGAGTGCCATTTGGCCTTGCCTCAGCCCCTGAAATATTCCAACAAGTAATGCACTCAATTTTGAGTGATTTTGAAAATACTGAACGTTCGATGGAAGACATCTTGTTATGGGCAAACACAAAGCATGAATTGAGGAAGTTAACGCTAAAAGTTACTAGAAGACTCATTGACAAGGGCTTACGTTAAATAAAGAAAAATGCGAATTCGAAAAAACTACAGTCAAATTTTTGGATCATATTTTTACGTCCAACGGCATTAAAATAGATCCTTCTAAAGTAAAGGTCATTCAACATT